TATATATATATATATATATATATATATATAGCCTCAAATCTACTGAATTCCTAGTGGAGCTCTGTGGTGCTCTCCATCTACTCTAACCAAGCCTCCCTTTATTATAGTTTGCTTACTATTTGTTAAATTGAACGAGGCTTGAAATTTCTGCATGCTTTCCAAGTTTAGAACTAAAAGAATGAGGTGTGAATGAAGCACATCAAAAAGGGGCAGAAGCACTATTTTTACTTTATTGATTTAGCAATTCCTAATTGTAGATAAGTAGAATACAATTTCTATTTTTTAAAATAGATTAACGCCATTTATTCCAGATATTTTATTTATGGGCTTAGTAAAACTTTCAACTTTGAACAAATTTTAAACCCATATTCTTGATTAAGGTTTTTTTTTTTCTCTTATCAACATTTTGATCTTATTTGAATATATATGAATGAATTCAGTTGTTCTAACCATTCTTGTGCTGAGCAAAGTTGGATGTACATAGAAAAATTGTTCTATTTTGAAGTAGTTTTCATGTGCCATAGTATATTCATTTCGTAGGAGTACTTATGATATAACTAGTGAGTTGACCTTCGGTATGAGAACTAACAGCATTTTTCTTCTGTTTTAGGGGATGCGTTGATTGACATGAAAACTAAATTAAATGCTTCTAGTAATCAGCTTGCTGATTGGAATCAGAACCAGGTTAATCCTTGCACTTGGAATTCTGTTATTTGTGATGGTAACAACAAAGTCATTCAAGTGTAAGTCAGCGAAGTACTTAGAAACTACTGTTTTTATCAATACTTTTTAATATGATATTGCATGAATTCAAAAGGACCTTTAATTAAAAGAAAAAAAAAAAACTCAGTTGAACTTCTTGATATGATAAAATTGTATTAGAATATTTGATTTTTTTTCTATGTTTCTTTCTATTGCAGAACTTTGCCTAACATGGGTTTTAATGGAATCTTGTCACCAAGTATTGGGCAGTTGGCTTATCTCACTGCTCTGTAAGTTCACATAATTTCATAAATGTTTATTTTTTTATGTATTTGATGCTTAGAGTCATTTATTTTATCCCATATCTTCTAAACATAATTTAGGAACAAGTGCATTTTGATTCATCATCCGATCTTAACTATTATTCGCTTCCTATGAATAATGGCTAGGTTTGAGTATTTCTTGCTTTGTAATTATTCCATCTCAGAACTTTATTATCTGTTTCCCTTAGTTTTTATGTGTATAGCACCATAGATTTATTGATTTGTGCATCTTGATATATTTTTTACTTTGGTCCATGTTTTTGTAAATGAATTTGGATGATCCTGTTGACTATGGACCATTCTAAATTTGGCTCTAAGTGTGATAATTAAGAATTTGGCTCTCTTGTTGCTCAACGTATGGCTCTAAGTGTGATAATTAAGAATCATATTGCAAGTAACCTTATTTTTCATACAAGAACAAAATATATTGAAGTTGATAGCCATTTTATTAAAGGTATTTTGTTTAAGAAAAACTCACTTATGTCTCCTATGAAGAACAATTGACAAATATTTTTAAAAAGCCTTTAGACGGCTTCATTTCTCCGCTATTGACAGGAAATTGAATATTCATGATATATATTCTCCGAATTGAGGGATGTATTATCAAAGAGATTTACATATAGGAAACTAGTAGTAATTATATATAATTTGTCTTTATTCTGTTATATTTTATTTTAATTGTGGACATTTTCCATGTTATTTCCTTCCTATTCTCTCTTATATTTTCCTATATACAGCATAGTGAGATATATCAAGTTGTTTTCTATTAACCTTATTAGCATTGTTAAGCTCTTATGGTGACAGCTGTTATTCCAATATGGAGGATATAACCCTTTAAAGAAAGACAAGTCAGTTATTATAAAATTAGCGAGACTTGATTCCATATCTTTGTTGTTTGCATAATATGCGTCGGCCAAGGATTTATAATACATGCATGATAATTCAAGTAAATTTCTATGAAAATTATTGTTAGCATCTCTGAAAATAACTGCTATCGGTTTTCTGTTCTTCCTTTTCTCATCCAAAACAAATCTAAAAAGAGAGAACACCACAAAAAAGAACAACAACAACAACAACATCAAGCCTTTATCCCACTACGTGGGGTCGGCAGGATTCATGTCATTATTGTTCGACAAGTTTTACGCTGGCTGTCGACTACCTAACGCAATCCTCCACTTTTCTCATCCAGGACTTGGGACCTGGCAACGACAGTGTTAAACCACAAAAAGAACAAATAAAAAAAATTTCTTTTGATGGAATTATAAATTGATTGCGTTACACGTGCAGATCATTGCCAGGTAATAAGATTACTGGTAAAATTCCTGAAGAATTCGGAAATCTTTCCAGTTTGAGAAGCTTAGTCTTAGAAAATAACCAACTAACCGGACAAATACCAGATTCTCTTGGCAAGCTTTCTAAGCTTCAAACGTTGTAAGTAAATTATGAATAACATTGACATACTCATTTTATTATTTATTTCATTTTACGTCATAATAATTGTTGCTTTTGATATCATTGCAAGTAGGATTTTAAGCGACAATAATCTCAGTGGAAGCATCCCTGAGTCCCTTTCAAAACTTTCGAACTTAAATGACATGTAAGTTTTAGCATCAATAACTTCTACCATAAGCTGTTTGCTATGCATGGTGCTGCGTCTTCATTTTTCCTTTTGCTGACAGTTTTGTTTTGTTTTGGCAGCCGGCTAGCATTTAATCATCTTACTGGACGGATACCTGATCGACTCTTTCAGGTTGCTAGATACAAGTATGGAGAGATACTTGCTTAATTTCAAATTGAGAAAAAGGTTGAAATTGTCCCCCGAGGCCCCGACTATTATTAAGTGCCCAATTTTATCTCAAGTTTCACACTGCCTCAATTTAATCTATCGACTAATGAAAATTGATCCAATTTGATCCCTGGGTTGAAATGACATTTAAAGTTGACACCAAAGTTGTTTGAGGGTATTTTAGATAGTGCAAGTATATGTGAGATTATGTTTCTTATGATGCTCTATTTTTTCAGTGAATTATAATAAATACTTGTGTTTGGCATGCAAAACCTAAACTAAATCTTAAACATTGTTACAAAAATATTGTCGTTTGTTGTAGAATTCCAAAATCTTTACTAAAAAAATGGTGCAATTGGCTACAAAACTCCAAAAACCCTTGTTGCAAAAATATATCTACGAATGGTGTCATTGAAAATTGCTTCGCTACTCTCACACTCAAAATCCCACTCGGTCAGAGATCACCTCTCACAATGTGCAAGTGCATGAGCCCTCGCTGCTACTTCGTGTACATCTTGCATGAGCATGGTAAGCCGCCTTCTTAAGAAAATAGAAAAGTATAATATTTGTACTAAAATGCCCTCTTCAAATTATGAATTGTGAGAGACTTGCGGCATTTTTGTTAATTTTGACAATTTGTCAATGGAGGGGCCAAATTGGATCATAGTTGACAGACTAAATTGGGGCGGTGCAAAACTACAGCAAAATTATGAACTTATTAATAGTCATGGGACTATTTTGGCATTTTCCTCATTTCAAATCTCAGCATGATCACATTGATTATCCTAAAAGTTTGAAATGCATCAAATTTACTAAACATTTGAACTTGATTGGGCTCTATTATTGGAACAGCTTTACAGGGAACAGTCTGAATTGTGGGGGAAACTTCCCTTCAATTTGTGCATCGGATACAACTGATACTGGTATACTATCAATCACGCAATTATCACATCTGGCTATAAATTTTGCATTCCATGAGACAAAAATTGTCGCTATGTATTGCTTTGGTTATTGGAAAATCACTTTGTATGTCCTTATTTTGAGCCCTGACAGGAGGATCTAACAGTTCGAAGATCAAAGTGATTCTTGGAAGCATTGGTGGAGCAATAGTTCTCATTTTAGCTGTTGCTCTATTTCTATTGTGCAGAAGGAGGAGAGACGGTTTTAGACAGGAAGCCTTTGTTGATGTCACGGGTCCGTATTTCTGCTTATTACTACCCGAATTGTTTAGTTCACATGGTGATTTATGCTGCTAAAATGCGCCTGATTTTAGGCAATGTTCCTCAAGTTGAATGGTTTAAAGTTGAAGGATGATTTAACTGTGGAGAAAATTCTTTTAAATACTTAATATATTGTTTGATTACACTCCCATATATTTGTTATTAAACTGAACTTTTGATTTATGCTCGTGACATACCTTCCCATAATCTTGCTAAAAAATGATGCTTTCAAAATCTACCATGTTTTCTTCAACTGGATTACCAGGTGAAGATGACCGGAGAATTGCATTTGGGCAATTGAGAAGATTTGCATGGCGTGAACTTGAAATTGCAACTGACAACTTCAGTGAGAAGAACATACTTGGGCAGGGTGGCTTTGGGAAAGTATATAAAGGAGTACTTCAAGATAGTACAAAAATTGCAGTCAAGCGGCTAATTGATTATGAAAGTCCTGGTGGGGAAGCTGCCTTTCTACGTGAAGTGGAGTTGATAAGTGTAGCTGTACATAGAAACTTATTAAGGTTGATAGGATTTTGCACTACACCAACGGAACGCCTTTTGGTATATCCTTTCATGCAAAATTTGAGTGTTGCTTACCGCTTAAGAGGTAAAGATTCTTTTCTTTACTCAGCATCTTTTAGGTGATTTTATATGAGATAATTACTTTTCAACATTTTGATCGGTTTTCCATTATTTTTACAAGGACCTCATGATACTTATAGTCTTTGCTTTTGTTCATACCTTTTTTATTAATTATTTATTGAAATAAGCCCTAATCTAATCACAATCAAGTGTCTAAGGCTGCCTTATCCTAAACTAGTAAAATTGAAGTTTCCCAAATCCTACCCTTGTACTCTTTCTTTTGCGGCTGTATGAAGGTCGATTTCTTTGCTTCATCATGTGACACCTCTAAGAGAATTAGTTTTACTAACATTCATTATGTATTCGTGTCAATAAAATATGGCTTTTAAAATAGATTGCAAGGAGGAATCCAATCTTTGAAAAATTATTTTATCAATTATGTTTAATTGTTTCCTAATAAATTAGAAATTGAAATTATAAGTATGAAGACTTATGCATAAGAACTAGTTCCTATAAATTGTTGTATATTAACCTTCACCTATCAATATTTTAACAAACATAAGTAAACACTAATTGCACATTCAGTTGTTAAAGCTTATGTGATGCAGACCACTTGTGATCCTTACTTGTTTATGGGATTTCCATTTTTACTGACCTCCGGCTCTCTTATGAATTCTCTTGTATTTTCAAGTATGGTTAGTTTTCGTGACTTGCTGCTATTTTTTCTTCCTTGCAATTTCTCTATTACGGATCTTTTGGGTAGTGTTGGAACTCGTGACCATTGGTATTTTCTGGTGATTTGCTTTATGGTTGTTTTGTGATCTTCGACTATTCTAATACGATTGTGTTATTGGTTCTCAAAGCTCTTTATGATTTAGGATTGATACATCATGCAAAAATTATCTTGATCGGGCACGAATCTTGAGGCAAAAGCTAGTTGGAATCTTCAAAAATTAAATTTGAAAGCACCCGAACTCCGATTCCAACGATCTTATAGTCAAACTGAGCGTCTCGGAAATACGAACCCAACGACACCGAGATCAACCCAATCCGAGCCCAAATGAGTCCGAATCAAGGGTCCAAAGCGCTGTTGGAAGGTTCAAACCGCAATTTGAGTTACCAAACGGTCTCCGATTTTGACGAGCTTATACTCGAATCGAACGGCTCGACGAGACGAATCCAACGAGCCCAAGATCATCAAATTCCGACATCAGCCTTCAAAGACCAACGAACGTGGCTATGATCAAGGATTCGATATCGCTTGGTCCATTCAAACCACTCCCAATCGCCCTTATCTCACGCCATTTACGGGCTATGGAAAAACTATAAATAGAGCCCTCATTCTACACCAAGGGGACTCAAGGGAAGAGAGAGAAGAAGAAGAGGAGAAAGGGGAAAAGGAGATTCCTCACCTCCTTGACCACCGCCGGAGCTCTTCCTGTCGCCTGAAGACGCCGGAACTCTGCCGGATTTTTGGGAAACGCCGGGAATCTGCAGAACTTTGTAACTTTGTGAAAAGTTGATTGTAAATTGATCGTCTTGATTCATAAGACGGATCAACCTTTGTACTTCAAACAAATACTAGTGGATTCGTTCAAACTGGGCGAGGCCCCCGTGGTTTTTCCCCCTTTTACAGGGTTTCCACGTAAAAACCTTGGTGTTCATTTTCTCTTTTCTGTTTGTGTGCGGAATACTCGTGCAACGCTAAGACGAATATTTCCTAACTCTATTGCCACGTATATTCAAGCACGCAACAAGGATAAAGCCACTAACTTCTTTAATTTTCCTTATAAATGTAGGAAAGATTGTTGATTATAAATAATGTGGGGGTAAATCAAATATATTTGGAAACTAAGAAAGGGGCTCTTAAGAGAATCTAAGATGTTGTCGAGGAGTACTTGAGGTAAGAGCACCATTGCAAAGAGAGTCAAGGTTAAGAGGGAACTCAAAAAAAGGTCTTGTGAAGAAGCACCTAAGATTCAAGCGACTTCGTGCCTATATGTTATTTGCCAAGCAACAATGATGATAGCGTGGCACTTACAATGCACAATTTTAACCCTACATTTTGGTGCTGCGTCTTTGAAACTCTCATAATTAAAGTCTTGATGTCTTGCATTAAATACCTATCTTTTATAATCAGCATTTCTTATTTATATAAAGCTTTGTTGAAGAAGTACAGGCTAGCCTCTTTGCTGTGAGCCTATTAAGTTAGAATCTTAAAGAAATCGTGCTTAGAAAAATTTGAGAATCAAAGAGTAACGAGAGTAGCAAGAGACTCTGAGGAGAAAGAAACTAAGAGGGTCAAAGGGGGGATTAATGGAAGCATCATTTTCCTCCTTATTTTTTGTTTTTTTCCCCTTAATAATACTTTTTTGTTTCATACACCAAAACTAAAAGTTCAGGTTAACAAATTTGCTCCATTGATTCATGTCAATGTATCTGTCGTTTTCCTTTCAATGTCTTGACAGTGCTAATGGATCAAATTTTGGTGTCATGCTCCAGGTTAAAAAAAAACCCTTAAAAAAACTTTGGTGAACGGTGTTGATGAAAATCGACTACAAGAAGACATGAGAACAATTCTTGACCTTATACTTGAAGAATAAGATAAGGAGAAGTTGAGATCAAAAAGAGAAATCTCTAATCACTTCGCTAACCTAGTTACACCCCTTCAATATAGATAGTTGTGATGATGAAGATATTGAGCTAGTAGATCCTTGGTTGTGGATCTAGGACCAAAATATCAGAAAGATTGATCCCAGAGGAAGTTATTGCCGTCAAGACAACAATAGGCCAACGAAAGTTTTAGTAGGTGAGAATATCACTTAGAATATGAAGGATCTTGGGCCTTTTTTAGAAGATGTAGGTAAAAGCTGAATTAATATCCCTACCTTTGATGATTTTTTGGTGGATCAACTTGAAATTTGCTTTAGTTTTTGCGGCTATTTTTTTTTTGCTTAACTCAAACTCACATGATTTCTATTTTTTATCGACGTATTAGTAAAACCGTAGTTAGAGAGGCTTTAAAGAAAATGAAGTGTGGAAAAGCTGTTGGAGCTGATGATATTCTAATAGGACTGTGAAAATGCTTAGGAGATGAAGGAATTTTTTGGCTTACTAAACTTTTTAATACTGTTTTGAAGACTAAAAAGATGCCAAATGAGTGGAGAATGAGTGTATTAATTCTTATTTTTAAGAATAAAGGTGACGCACAAGATTGTGCGAATTACAGAGGAATTAAGTTAATGTGTCATACTTTAAAATTATGGGAGCGAGTTATGGAGCGTAAGTTGCGGCGTGATACTAATGTTTCTCAAAGTCAATTTTGATTCATGCCGGGTAGGTCTACTATGGAAGCCTTACATTTATTGAGAGGTTTGATGGAGAAATATAGAGAATAAGGAGGATCTACATATGATATTTATTGATTTAGAGAAAGCATTTGATAAAGTTTCAAGAGAAGTGCTATGGAGAGTTCTTGAAAAGAAAGGAGTTAATAATGCTTATATTCAAATCATTAAAGATATGTATGCAGGAGCTATTACTTGTGTTCAAACACAAGGTGATTTGACCAAATTTTCCTGTTTCAGTTGGATTGCATCAAGGATCAACCTTAAGCCACATATCTTTTTGCTTTAGTCATGGATGTTCTCACTAGACATTTGCAAGATGTACCTTGGTGTATGCTTTTTGTATTCTTCTTATTGATAAGACTAGAGAGGGAGTTGAACGTAAACTTGAATTATGGAGGTCAACCTTAGAGTTTAAAGGATTTCACTTGAGTAGATCCAAAAATGAATATATGGAGTATAATTTTTGTAGAGGGGATTGTGACTTTGGGCAATCAAGTCATTAATAAGTGTACACATTTTAGATATCTTGGATCTATTGTTCAGAGTGATGGTGAAATAGATAGGGATATTATCAGCAGAATTCAAGTTGGATGGTTGAAGTGGAGGGATGCATCAGACTTGTTGTGTGATAGAAAAGTCCCCTCAAACTTAAGGAAAAATTCTATAAGATGGTGGTGAGACCAATGCTTTTTGGTGCCTAATGTTGGCCATTAAAAGAGAAGCAAAATACTAGGTTAAGTGTTGTAGAGATGAGGATGCTCAGGTGGATGAGTGGCTTTACCCGTAGAGATAGGATACGAAATGAGCATATACGTGAAAAGGTTGAAGTAGCTCCAGTGGAAGATAAGATTACAAAGAGGCGCCTTAGATGGTCTGGTCACATAAAATGGCGGCCTTCCGATGACCCAGTTAGAAAAGTAGAGGTATTAGATTTGACTTATATTAAGAAAGGTAGAGGTAGATCTAAAAAGACTTGATTAAAAAATATTAGAAATCTTTCTTTATTAGATTTAAATGAGAATTTGACTTTTAACAGGACACAATGGAGGAAAAGGATTCATGTAGATGACCCCACGTAGTGGGACAAAGGCTTGATGTTGTTGTTGTTGTTGCTCAACTTAAACTCACAAAACATGCTTCGACTTGGTGGAATGCTCATCCTTATCATGGGTGACTACATTATCCAGGGGCAATTTAAGCAGATGTTTAGACACAAATTTAACATTAATGGATATAAATAAATATAGAGTAAATGGCACGGGTTGCACTAGCAAAAAGAACAAAGCGCGCATGAATATAAAATAATTTTCAGGAGATAAGCCTTGATAATTTCTGCGTCAGTGGAAGACATGTCCATGTTGACAAAATATATGGTAGGAATGCATTATAACATCTCTAATGAATTTCTACCCTTCCCTGCCAAAGATCTTGGCCAGAAAAAAATATGTTTTCCATATTGATCAAGAGGAAGAACAAAACAAAAGTAGCAAACCTCCTATTGAAAGGAAAGAAGTTGAGCTGAAGATTGTCGATAAGAAGCAGAACTGGAGGATTCTAACAATGGTAATTCAATAACCTCTTCTTCCTTAAGAAGTAAACTCAAATTTGTTCTCTGCTAGATCTTATGATATGGTAGTGGTAAATATTGGAAACTTCATCCATAACTCTTCTCAGA